GGGGGGACATTTTGCTTTACTATAGACAAGCCATGATCTGCTTATCTGTTCTCCATTTTTCATTTGGATGAAATAATAGCTGCATGAATCATGACAGCAGACAAGATAGAGGAGAGCAGGAGGCGGGGTTACCAATCTACTTGCTCTGGAGAGCAGAGTTCGCTGCTTTTAGATGTTCTCTCCAAAGTCTCCAGGAGCAGAAAAAAGTCATTAGATTTGGCGCTAGGCGCTTTTTAGAAAGTGCTAGAGGGGTCTGAAAAGTGGCTAAATATAGCAACTAAAGCACTAAGTTGGCAACACTGTTCTTTGCATCGTTTGTTTTCAAATGTTTGCTGCTGTCTGTTTGGACCTTTCTGAACATGTGCAGCAAATGGACTGATCCAATATGGTGGACACTGAATGGGGGGCTGAGACACAATATTATATGCATCCTGATGGCATTTAAGTATTTTTGTCAAAAACATAATGTGCACAAATAGGTAATAGCAGTATTAAACATAATTTACATATAAAAGGAGTTTTATGGGCCCCCCAGGAACTTGGGGCCCTAGGCAACTGCCTAGTTTTGCCTAATGGTAAATCCCCCCCTATGAATAGTTATGTAGCATACGCTTTAAACAAAATTAGGTTTAGCGAATTATACCGGGTGTAAAACAATGAATCAAAAGAACGCCAGTTAACACATTTTACACAATTTTATTGGATTATGCTCACACCTCTGTTTCTCTACATCAGGTCTCCATCAAGATCAGTGCATTTCACAAATTAGCATGACAAACAAAATGTCAAAACCTGGAATAAAAAGTGTCCCCTCCCCCCTTTCATTTACAAGCACTGGTTCTTTCAAAAGAAAAATAGAAAACACAACAAAACAGAGCAGACATCAGTGCATCATCCAGGTAAATAAATGGTGGAAAACTCTGTGCACCTTCTGGGGGGGAAGAAAGAGATGCACAGGAAAGAGTCATGTAAGGCACCAGGACTGCAGAGGGAGTAGCTTATCGATGGCCGAGTGGACTGACCCGGCTCTGACGGGCGCTGCTTTGAGAAACCGCTTCAGCCGGGAGAAAAACTAAACCAATCACAGTGTAAGAAAATTTACAAACAAAAACAAAAGACAGACCAAGCAAGCTTTTTTACAAATATCAGCTTTAAAAATAAGAACGATTAAAGCACAGGGAAGCGCACGTTCATAGAAAATATTCATCGCATTACAAAACAAAAAGTTCAGGAGCGCTTCTGCAAACCGATAAAAACACGGAGAGACTTTATCACCATGCAGGAGAACATCCGGGAGCACGTTTAAGATGCATTCACATTTATTTAATCAAATCTACTCTACTGCATGCCGTCTCAGCTGTGGGGTAAATACATCCTCCTGAACGGGCTCTTTCCGGTTAGATTCTTACTTTTATCAAAACTTCCAGGATGTACGCACATTTTTATAAAGCTAAACGAAGAAAACCGTTAATAACTGGTGGAATCGGATAAAAAAAATGTCATTTAAACATTTTAAGTCATCATAAACATGTGTTAAATGCTCTATTATCCAGCAGCACCAAAACATTACCTGCGAGTAAACAATTTATTTAAACCATGTTATTTGTGTGTTAATAACTACTTATTACATGTTTATTAAGGCTAACAAATGTTAAATAACGCTATTAAACGTTAACATGGACAGATATTAACGCTAACTACTGTTAACTAACGCTAACAAATGTTTATTAACCTCTAAAATAAATATATTAAGGGGAAGCAAACCTTGATCATTTGAAAACAGTGTAAAGTTGGATCCAAACTATAAAACATTTGAACGGAATTGAGTATTTATAAATGGTAAATAAGCATGTAATAAATAATTAATAAACCTAATGGCGTGAAATGCTAATGCTTATTTGCTGCGAGTTAATAACATGCTTAGGGCTTTGTCATTAGTAGGATATTATTTATACAAGGCTTTAATACCAGTAACCGCTTGTTAAACGTTGCATGTACATAAATATTAAGGTTAATTAGCATGATGCATTAATAATCAAAGAAAATTCAATGATTGTGTCAGTAAAAAAAAAAAAAAGGTGCAATAACCATTCATCATGTGTTTATAATGCTAATAAATGCAGACATTTAAAGCACATGTAAGCGTAGAAACACTAAATAAATGTGTGAAGTCAGGATTTTTCCTTTTTAGCATATTGTTCTTTCAGACAGGAAATATACTTGGTTTTCTGTTGCCAGTGATTGACTGATGTCATTTACTATTTTATAATGCTAACAAATGCTTTTTAGGTGGTTTTGAAAGTAGAATCTGCAGAATGATTAAATTGCACTTGAAGATGCTTGGTTAAGAGAATATAGGATGATTGGACAACGTCGAAGTATGACGTTTTAAGTAAAATAATACGACAGGATAAACGTTAAAATTGAATAAGGGGAGGGGGCAGGTAAAGAAAAAAATCATTTTTATTGGGGAAAAAATTAAGATTAAAGATGAACATTCAGACAAAGAAAATAAATATTATGCGTAGATGGAAAACAATCACAGAATAAAGACATTTCTGCAAATTGCTCTGCTTGTAGAAATGGTGAATAAAGCGGTTATTTATAGGCCAAACTTTGTCATTCCTGGTCATAAATATTGATTAATACCTTTAAAATGACTTTAAGGGTCATTTATGTAAATTCATAAACCATATATTTATTTTTACCAACTAATCATCCCATTTATTTCCCGTAAAAAAAAAAAAAAAAAATTCAACCTTATTATCCAACGTCCTCCTCTTTCATTTAATTTCTCCGTCTAATTTAAGATAAAAACGGACTCTCCTGTCGAACACTCGGCCTGATCTTTCCTACTAAATGGATGCTTGGTGGCTCTACTGTGGTTATTTCCGGAACAAACGTCTTCCTTTTATGAAAGCAGAGCAGAAGGTGAAGAAAAGACTCAAACCAAGCAACATTCATCCAAACCGTCTTAAGGCTGTAAGTACCTGTACAAGAATATGTTTTCACCAGCGTTTAGTTATAAAATCCCCCCCCCCCCTCCAGCTCAGCAGGATGTAACCTTGTTCTGTGAGAATTCAGGCGTCACCCGATAGGCCGACTCTCCCCATGCGGCTTCAGCAGGCCGCAGCTTTCACATCCCAGCCCGCCATTTTCAGCCCTCCATTCTAAAGACAGGAAACGTAGGACTTGGATGCAGAGTTTTTCCAGAGAGGTTTGCGGTACGCCCAGCCTTCGCCCTGGAGGGGAGAAAAAACGCTTAACAGGGGCGCAGATGATCCATCGCAGACAAATATGGGTGGAGATGTCGCTCACCTCCTGATCGAAGTATCTGGTCCTCCATGGTGTTTCTGTCTCTGCGCGGTGCCTCGCCTCGCTACGCTGCCGTTCCTCCAGAACCCGTTTGTGCTCGGTGGCTTTCTCGATGTCCTTCTGCCGGAGGGCCTCCGTCACGTGCTGCCATAGTCGCCTGCAAGAGGAAGGAGTGTGAGATTTGCTTCCCCCGGGAGTTTCTCCACACATCAGAACCAATCGGCCCGACCTGGACTCAGTCGGAGCTTGCTTCTCTATGGGGCGGACCCGCTTCCTTATGACGGGAAGCTTGGTGACGTCCACCACCTTCGTCTCTCCGCTGGTGTAAATGAACTCCAGCACGCCGTTCCACTCGCCCTGCACTCGGCACACCACCGCATTGGTGGGGTTGTGCTTCACCTCCGCCGTCACCCTGAAAAACAAACAAACATACATTTCTTAAAACGAAAGACAAAGATGGAAGCAAACTTAATAACAGTTTAGTTCATGATTTTGGTATACGATAACCTAAGATGTCTGAAGAGAGATCATTTTCACCACAAATGACGCAATGTTAAGGGTTTATTAGCATTAATGTTGTATTATTATAGTTTATTACCGTTAACTACACAATAATAGCACTTATCAACAATATGAGTGTGTAGTTAATGTTAATAAACGATTGCTGTACAATAATCCATAAGTCTTGAGAAAAACTGAACACAAATGAACAGTAAATAACTTTATATATATTATGTAATATATATATATATATATATATATATATATATATATATATATATATATATATATATAGCAGTAAAGACAGCAATAGATCATTTATTACCACTATAGGACATACCAAAAAAGTAAAAAAAACAAGTTTGAAGACGTTTTGCTTCCCATCCTGGAAGTCTAGGTTCCTAAGCAAGACCCTTAACCCCACACTGCTCCCCGGGAATGGGAGGGTTAAATGCAGAGCTAAATTCCTCCAATGTGAGATCAATAAAGTTATTATATCAATTATAGAAGCTAATAACTTTACATAGTAAAAGTGCTAATTAATGCCAAATTTACATTTAACCTGACGACAACAAAACTCATTAAATAGCTGCATATATGATACCCTAAAGGCAAATCTAACTAAGAAACTCACATTTAAGTGTCTAATATTGTTTGATGCTAAATGCTACGCTATTGAACAGCTAACCCTTTAATAAAGGTTTATACTTTTGATGGAAATTGATTACATTTGCAGTTACAATTTAGTAATTTACTTGGAATAAGAAGTAGAACGTAAACAAAAAACAAATAATATGTAAGGATTGAAACCAATGCGGCGGAGTGGGGACGTACTTGTGTAATTTACCGCCGTAGAAAGGTTTGGTCTGGAAGGTGATGACGGCGGAGTAACCCGATTTGTTGCAGCTGATGTTGACCTTCCCCCCCAGCTCCACCCAGGGAACAGTGAGGATGGAGCGGGCGTAGGCGCAGGGCAGCGTGAACGTGTACTCTTCATCGTGCTCCAGCAAATGTAAACAACCTAGACAGGACAGATCAGGAATTGGACCTGGATGAATCCTAGAAAGGCAGTTGTAGTCCACCCTGAAATAAGAGGCTGTGAATTCAATCCTCTCTGACTGAAAGGCTCATTAATTACTTAGAGTTGCCATTAAATATCTAAGAGGGTATCTGTTCTTTTCAGTCTGTATTAAGTACAGAGAAATGTCCAGTTTCTACAGCTTGATACCTTTAGGAAATCAGTTCTGTGAGATCTAGCTCATTGATCGGAAAGGCAGATTTCTAGAGATCATCTTAAAGACCCAAATTAATTTGAGGATTTTCAGAAATAAGAAACAAGATGCGACGTTCACTGACCTTCTCCGATCATGGACACGCCAATAGACATCCCCATGAACTTGCTCTTGGTCCACACGTGCGTGTTCACACACATCTGCCTCTCCTGGCACTCTGCGTAGAAGCCGGACACCGGCGGATGATGGGACACCTGCTCCGCCACGAAGCGCACCTGGTAGGGCTCCTGGGTGTTGGTGGAGGGGTCCGGACCTCCCTGCGGGGGCTCTGTGGAGGCCTCCGCCGTCCTGGGGACCCTCCAGGAGCAGCGGAAGGTCTCGCCGATGATTGGGTTGTAGGGCTTCTTGGCGATGGCGCCCTTGCGGCCCTCGTGGAAGGATGTGAGGTAGTACTCTACAAACCGCACCATGCGGTCTTCGGGGCTGGTCCCGTCGGTGATGGCGACGAAAAGCTCCGGGTGGGACATGAAGTCGGCGTACATTTCCAGCAGCGAGCGCTTCTCCAGGATGAAGGTGGGGAGAACCACCTGCGGGAAGATTTCCAGCAATGTTTTCACAAGACGATCAAGTCAAGTCAAAGAGACAACACTGACATCTTGTGGTCAAAAACCGACATTCCCCCCATCATTTGGTGAAGACAAAAGAACCTGATGATCAAAACAAAGAAATCCCAGATGGTAGATTGTTGGATCTTTATCAATTTCTTTTTGAAACCATGTAGGTCCCCCACTGTCTCAGGGCTTGCACAGGATTTCTACAGGATTCAGGTCTGGGGGATTCTTGACAAGTCTCATTGGTACCTAGGCTACATTTCCGGGCTTGGAGTTGGAAATAAAACTAGAAAGACCTTTGAAAGTCCGAAATCCAAGGAAGGGTTGATGTAAAACTCATTCAAAATGGATACGACTAGCATGTTAGCTAGTTGAACTTTCCTGCTTTGTCTGTTTGCAGTAGTAGGGTCAACTAACTTGTTTACATACTAAATCCCATATCAAAGAGGTTTCTAGAATGTCCTTCTTTCATCTGCGGAAAATTGCAAACATTAGAAATCTCCTGTCCATTGGTGATGCTGAGGAACTAGTCCATGCATTTGTTACTTCAAGGCTGGACTATTGTAATTCTTTACTCTCAGGAAGTCCACAAACTGTAGTTAAAAGCCTTCAGCTGATCCAAAATGCTGCAGCCAGAGTTCTGATGAAATTTAAAAAGAGAGAGATCATATCTCTCCTATCTTAGCTTCTCTTCACTGGCTTCCTGTTAAATCCAGAATAGAATTTAAAATCCTCCTTCTCACATATAAAGCCTTAAATGGCCAAGCTCCATCTTATATCAGAGATCTGATTGTTCCTTATGTTCCTAACAGAGCACTTCGCTCTCAATCTGCAGGTTCACTAGTGGTTCCGAGAATTTCTAAAAGTAGAATGGGAGGCAGATCTTTTAGTTATCAGGCTCCTCTCCTGTGGAACCAACTACCAGTTTTAGTCCGTGAGGCAGACACCCTGTCTACTTTTAAGGCTAGGCTTAAAACGTTCCTTTTTGATAAAGCTTATAGTTAGAGTGGCTCAGGTTATCCTGAGCTATCTCTATAGTTCTGCTGCTATAGGCTTAGACTGCTGGAGGACATAGGGACCCCTTTTTCATCATTCTGCTTTATTCTCTCTTTATTCTCCTATTCTGCAGAATCTGTTAGTTCAATCTCTAACGTTCTGCTCTCTCTGCTTTTTCTCATGGTAGCTTCATCTGGTCTGTTCCTGTTTGGCTGTGACTCCATCCTGGAGAGAAATATCAGCTGTGATGTTGAGCTGAAGATCGGCCTGTTTTCCAGTGTAGTCCTGTTTCTCTGACTGTGACTGGCAGGATGTGCTCTCTTCAACCTCTGACATAGTGTTTGAGATTGCCTTTGAGTCAATGAGTCGATGCAATCAACTGGTTTTCCTTAGATTGAAAACTTTGAATCAATCTGGCTGTATGATCTGTTGAACTGTAAAATGCCTTGAGATGACATGTGTTGTTAATTGACGCTATATAAATAAACTGAATTGAACTACCGTTTACACAGTAAGTATTAACGCTGTTTTAGTTAGCGGCTTAACTAGTCACAGGCAGACGATGGGCAATACAAGGTTCCAAAAGTACAAACTAGAATGCTAGAGATTACTTTAACTTGAAATTACCAAGATCCAGGTAAATCTATCACAGCTTAAGACTAAAGGTGAAAAATACTCATTTTTATTTCGGTTCATTTCAATCTTGAGATGCTAAATCTATTCTAAGTGTCCAGGCAGATATCGTCGGATTGTCATTTTAAACGTCATTGTATTCAAAGAGTTCACGGTGGGTGGTAACGGGACGTCCCATAAACCCACAGACCTCCTGTTGTGCCTAACTGTGGTTATGAGGTTAACTTGAGGATTTAATGCAAAAAAACATTTTAAGTATCTAAAACTTATCTAGAGTTTAGGTCATTAAACTTCACTTTTAGCGTTTAAGCTTATAGTTAGCATCTCCTGGTTCTTCACTGAGACCCCGGGGCGCTACAGCCTTTACTTCCAAGGGGACAAATCCTCCTCACTTTAACAGATTGGTCTCTACCTGCTTTACCGTTCTCCATGATGGAAGGCTTGGGTCAATATCTACATTTACATGGACACAATTAATCAGAAGTGTCATGAAAACAAGTCAGACTGAAGATTCTAATCCTGTTCAGTCCGATTAGAAAGAAATTTCATTCCGACTGAGAGAAGTTTTATCCATTTGGGGTCTATGTAGACACCCTCTGTGTATGTAACACAAGCTTGATGTTTTTCTTTCCACTGGCTCCTGATGGAGAAGGTGGCTCTAAATGGAAAGTGCAGATTAGTTTTAAGTCTTTAGTTTTAGTTTGTAATGTTTTTTTTTTTTTTCACAGAATTTAGGGCATCAATGTAGCTCCATACTTACAGCCCATTTGTCAGAATACCAGATTTACTTTATGAGTTTTTCTGCCTCTCTTATTTTAATTAACTAGCTTAAACAATTTAAGATTAGAAAGTTGATTTGCTTGTGAGCATAAATGTGTTTAAATAGGTGGTGTTTAGAAGAATTTTAGCAAATGGAGACATTTTATCTATTAAAAAATTTAAAATAATCAACTGGTTACAAATTACTTTACTTTTTATAATGGGCTTTAGGACTAAAAAGAAGGCAAGGAATGCATGTTCATCAACTAAGGCTGCAAAACTTTTGATTCACTGGAAAACACAGCGCGCAGATGTTACACGCTTTACATCAACAGAATATAAAGTAGAGAAGAAGAAAAATACTTACACAAAAAAAAAAAACAAAAAAAGAGAAGGAACTTAAGAGGAACCCAGAAACGTTTCATTCTCCATCAGCTTCAGTTTAGCTTTCGTGTTGAAAATCAGGTCAACATGTACCTTTTTATAAGATATGTAGATAATACATGAGAACCAACAATGTTTGGACCTTCTCTCTGTTTAAGTGAGCGTTATAGATCACCTATCTTTAACATGGTTTATACAGGAATGGGTAACTCTAATTTAATGCATTTTAATGCTTAGAAACAACTTTAATGCCATTAACAAGTACCCCTGACTCTCATTTATATAATATATATGTGTAACACAGCAAAAATCATCATCTTAGGCTGCAGCCATGTCCCCAATTCCTCGTTTTCCAGCCGTTTTTTGTTGAAATTCTCTAGCGTTTTCTCCGTCTTGAGCTTGTTTCCCGAATGTACGGCTTCACGGTCAACCAGAAGCAGTTTTTTTTAAAAATAAAGCTTTGTAAAATGCCACGATAGTCACATTTATTTAATTTTAATGCCAATTAAGGCCTTAATTTAAAAAATAATAATATGAGTTCACCTTCATCCTGGAGACTTTTAATGACCTGCGGTTTTAGTTTTTTTTTAAGTTTTAATAACAAAACCTTGAGAGAAACAAATTTGTTCATCCAAGTTTCAGGAATTCATCTTTTTATGCTCATAAAGCAACAAAATTTTAATGAAAAACAACCTTTACATTTAGAAACAAAAAAGGATTCAAGTCAAAAATCCTCAAATAAAACCACCTAAAGAAAGAGGAAACCGGATCGGTCGAGGTTCTTAGACGTACCCGTGTGAGGTCCATGCCCAGCTTCAGCTGCGACAGCAGGTGCAGGATGACGCTGCGCTCCTCCTCCACAGCTCCCAGGTCCTCCTCCTCATCTGTGAAGGAGTCCTCCACCTCCTCCTCAGGGTCGATCTCCTCCTGCTCCTAACAGACGAAGAGAAGAAGATAAACGGTCTCTTCAGCGTCTCTAATTTCATAAGCTTCATCAAATAAAATCTATTATTTTTTATCGCATCCCATTAAACAGATTTATTTTGATCTATTAGTCAAGATCAACCTGATTCTGACCTATTTGGAAATAAACTACAACACCTGCATCAAAGCTTCCATCAGCATCAGCTGATCAGTCCCATAACTTATTTATTTTTTGATGAAATTCACTGATTTTCTAGATTTTAATGAAAACTTTCTATTTACTCTTTTTTAAATCTGACTTTTTACCTGACATTATACATATATAAAGCGTTTTATTTACATAAAACAAAACAAAAAAGATTAGAAAAAAACGTTTCAGTCTCTCAGGATGCCATTAAACAATAAACTACATTTCCCAGAATTCATTCTTAACATCCATTGAAAAACAAACCCTTTTTGTTTCTTAAATGCTCTATAAAAGCAGTTTTCATGGAGGACCTCCACAGCGGCTCGGTTTTCTTACCCCAGAGAAGCTCTCAGACTCAGGGGGGCTGAGCTCCAGGCGCCCCCCCTCCGGCGGGGCCTCCCCCGTGGTGAAGTCGCTCAGAGAGCTGCTGCCGTTCTTCAGGATGTCGGGCACTTTGGGCTCCAGCCACTCGATGGTGGGTCCTGTGGAAGATGAGGATTCAGACGCGCTCATGGTTCTGGCGCCCCCGCCCCCCCACCCCGTCCCCACCTAACACCCCCGCCCTTCTACCCCCCCGCAGCAGAAACAGAGAGCAGCTCTGCGAATATCCACCTGCTGCTGCTGCAAGACAGATAGCTGCTCCTACAGCAGCTGATCCGTACCTGAAGGGAGTCACCTGACACCGCCTGTGGAGGCAGCCGTCAGGAGACCCTGACTCCGCCCCCTTCTAATCTGATTGGTGCATCTGCATCAGGTAACAGGAACGCGTTTACACTTTCCAAGGCGAACTGTAGAGAAATCTGTCCTCTAAAGTTCAGCTTACTGTTTATTTAGGGACCAACTATGGAGCCAGGTAGCAACTTTTTAGTTTTTTTTTTTTTTTTTTTTTTTTTTTACAGATTTGATATTTTTAGTTTTTGTCTTTCCAAATGTCTTTTTTTCAAAGTTTTTCTTTGTTTTATTTTACTTTTTTTTTTCTTTTCACATTTATTTTATTCTGATTTTGAGTTTTACATTTCAAATTTTTTATATTTTACATATTCCACATATTTTAGTTTAAAAAATTTATTTTATCATTTCTTCTTTTTAATTTCAGTTCTTAGATTCAGTTTTTCCAGATTGCATTCTTTAAAAATCACATTTCTTTCCTTCACTCTTCCCGTCCCTCCAGAAGTAAAGAGAACGTCAATTGGAAAATGCAATCTGCAAAATAATAATAAAAAAATAAAAAAATAATTTTTCTCTTCTTCTTTAAAACATCAGAAGTTTTGAAAAATAAAACAAAATATGAGAAAACAGCAAAGTCACTGTGAAAAACATCTTTTTTTTTCTTCAATAAACTACTTTTCCTTTGTTTTACCTCGTTTATAAAAAGTGTTTTTTTCAACAATAATGGAACAAATTTCCCTCCATAACCAAGCGCAGCACCTCTTGCTGCTCAGAATGTTCCGGTTAATATTTAACGGCAGCAGATCTAATTACCCTTCCACCGCCCCCCCACCCCCACCATCAATAATGCAAGATAATTCCAGCAAAGCTGGACGCTCTGGTTTTAGGTGAAGCTCTTGGTGTCGGAGGCCATGATTTTCATCCTTAAACACTCACCTCCCAGCGAGGCTCTCTGGCGGGCCACCTGCTGCAGGTGCAGGATTTGCAGGCACTCGTTCAGGCAGCTCATGGTGGCCATGGAGGTGGCCTTCAGCATCAGGAGGTCCTGGTCCAAAGGGGAGAGGCCGGGGGCCGCCGGCAGCCCCTCGATGCTCTGGATCAGGTCCTTGTGTTGGCCCTGGGCCTGGCTCATCATCTGGACACAAAAATCAGATCTCTACGTTCACATTCGCTTCGTTTATTTGGGGATTCAAATCAACCTGAAGAGCTGCTGTTTTCACAACAGTACGGGGTGAATTTTGTTTCATTATTATTGCAAAAAGAACAGGTTTGAAACTTGGAAAAAAAAAAAAAAAAAAAGTTAACAATAAATTTGCAGTTTTCCGCTATTGTTTTTCTAATCCATTTTTTAAATCCCTTTCTACAGTTTTTTTTTTTTTATTAATTTGTTTCTTTAGATTGAATTTTATCAATGTCTTTCTTTCCAATTGCGTGATACAGACCACATTAGGAAATTTAATTTCTGAGCTATAATTATATAGATTATATAGAGAACAATCTGACTCTGAACACCAAGAAAACCAACGAGCTCATCATAGACTTCAGGAGG